AGGTCTTTCATCCCCTTTTCAGGAAGCTGGCTGAGGGCCACCGTGGCCCATTGCAGTCCTGCCTTTAAACCTGAAAACCCCAGCTTCCCGAGGGAGCCAGAAGGGGCTGGCTCTTGGCAAGCAGAGTTCCCGAGCAGCAAAAATAACCTCTTTCCCCTTAGCAGTCTCCTGCTTTATTAACGAAACTGCTCTGCAGCCCGGTCAGGCATTTCATGGTGAGTGTAGGGTGAAAGCGATTTGGCAGGTTCCATTCCCAGCGTGATCCGGAAGAGAGACAAGGGGCTGTTGAACACAAGCAGCCCTGGATGCCTTCCTAAACCAACAGGAATCAGCCTCTTTGACAGTGGGGTGTGCTCACAGATGGGGATTTCTTCAAAGGGAACGGAGGCCGAGGGAACAAAGAAGGTGCTGAAGATCCCATATGGACATGATTCTAATGAAGCACCCCTCCCCAGTCTCCTCTACCCCCTACGAGGACAGTTATACGGCACACAAAAGCAATCCTCCAATAGACATATATTCCTTTTTTTAATTTGATGACATTAGATGGAATTCCAAGCTGTGAGAGAACTTGATCAGATGGTCTCATCTCTCAGGGGGGAAATGACATGCCAGAACACAGCGTAACTTCCCAAATTTACTTAGTTACTGAAAACCCCGGCAGAAAGGCACTTGTTTTAGCATCAGATCCTGTGACACAAGAGCTAGTAGAAGATGATCAATAGCCATTTGTATGAACAGAAGTACTTCTCTGTGTGGCCCTCGGTGGATCTATAACCTTTTATGTATCTCTACCCAGGGAAAATGTGGAAGTGATAGTCACTATCCCATAGCTTCAATTGAGATTGAACCAGTAGGCCTGTGCTCCCCCAATACTATGTTCTTCAGTCCTTTGGCCTAGGTGGAGTTATACAAACTAGCATGACCATATAACCAGAGAAAAAGTAATTTTATGAACCCCTTAGCTAGTGCTTATTGTACTCCTATTCTTTCTGTGAAAGACTACATGTTGTGTATGGAAGCATCACCAATTAGCCAGAGGTTTCAATCACTATGAGGCAAAGAACCATCTGATTAAAGGCATCCATGCTGATTTCTGTGGGCGAGACCAAAAAAGCAAAAAACAAAACAAAATTCCCTGTGAAAATATGATTTCTGGTGCTTATTTGATCGACCATGGTAAGCATTTATTAAATACTATCAGCGTGATTTTCCCTATTCAGGGTTAGTACCAGCTATAGAATCCTACAAGGGGCTCTTCCTTTCTGTAGGACTAACCACTGCTATCCACGATCAACAGGGATGAGTGAAACTCTGAGATTCTTCAGTGTTTGGCAAGAACTCAACTATATGCTGTATGATTGAGCTGAAGGCATATATTCACCACCTTTTTTTCTATACAAGCCATTTATTTGAAATGCCAAATATATGTAGGATAAAGTCAGTGTTAATGTTTATCAGTAACAGTAGAAAAACGGAGCCAGTGAAAGTGTTTTCTACAACCTGCCTAACAAGCACTTTGTAAAACTTGTTACTCTTCATTAGTACATAGTGTTTTTTAAAGAAATATATAGTATTTTTATTTAGGTACCTCCAAACTTGAACTCGTCTGTGTGAAATATTGTAAACGATACATTTCTCTTTTGAGTCCATCACAGTTGTACAGAGGTTTTCACTGGTTCTATTCACCACCTTTTAGTTCTTCAAAATGGGACAAGTAAGGAAGTTGTTGTTTACAAACACACGTTTATCAAGCAATAGTTAAACTCCAGCACAATGCTAGTCGCAACGCAGATGTTGCCAAATGCTTCCTGTGTCTCCTAATCTTGAATATCAACTTGACTGGTGAAGGAGGCTCAGAGAAAGTTGTGGAAAGGGTGGGATGACCAGAGGATGGGGAGGATGCTGTCATCTGGACATGCCCTGGTCATCCTACTCATGAATTCACGGCAGTGGCTGCCTTTCTGTTTACTACCTGAAGACAGCTGGAATTCTGGCAGAGACAGTAGAAGTGCTCCTCTGGAAGTGGAAACCTGCTCAACGAGGGAAAATCTTATAGATCATCGAGAGGGCGGTGTATTAGTTACTTCTGTGGTCATTCTGCCCAAACACCTAATATGAGCAGTTTACCAGAGAACAGATTTACTTTGGTTCCTGGACCATCACTGTGGGACAAACCTGGTAGCAGTTGACTTCATAGTGATAGGAGTTTCAGGTTGCTTGCTTACAGCTTGGTGGCTCAGGAAGCTGAGAAGGGGGAATGCCCATGTTCGACCTGCTTTCTCCTTTTCCCTCCTTCATTTACTCTAAATTCCAAGTCCATGCAATGGAGCTAGTCACATTCAGAGCAGGGCTTTAGCCTCCTCAGTTAGGACTCCCTGGGAAATCCCTCTCAGAGGAACCCACAGGTATCAGTGCCCTAGGGATTTCTTTACTTTTAAATTATAGTTATTCTTTGTTTTTGAGAATTTCGTACAGATTGCTGATTCTGTTTAGTGGCATGTGTGTGTGTGTGTATGTGTGTGTGTGTGTGTGTGTGTGTGTGTGTGTTACGGCTTAAGATTTAGTGATGGATAACCCATCATGGAGCTCATCTCCAGGCAAGACTGATGCTTCTCCTTCAGTAGGACAACAATGATCAGCATGGCAATGTATCCCCAAAGATACAATAGTGGCACTTGTATCTTTGTGATAACTAACTATTGTCTAATTGGACTAAAGTCAACTCAATAAGAGGGGATTTTTGCCTGGTACTATAAACCTAGACAACTATATGTGACTAAAGAGGCCACAGATCCTAGAGGAGAAACTACAACTGCCAGTCACCCAAACTAGAATCATCTCACAGTGCACTCTCAATAGTTACCCTTATACCCATAGATAAGTGTAGTTTTCAACCCCTGTTATGGAAGCTTTGTTTTTGTTGTAGATAGTGTCAGCCACAGAAAACTACAACTGATCAAAATGTAGACCATGGGGTCCCAAGGCCCAGTTGATACATACCCAACACAACTCTCACATACAAGTCTCAAGGAACACCACAGAAGAGGAGCAAAAAGACTGTAGGAGCCCCAGGACCAGGACTTCTGCTGCCACGGTGTGTCTTTTATATATTGCAAGGAAGCTGCACCCATAAAATCTCAGTTGCTTCTTATATAGCTAAGACCCACCTGGTCAGGAAATAGAGTAACCATAGCGGCCTGGGCCCTCCTGCATCAATCAGCAACCAAAAGGAGTCCCCAGACATGCCCACTGGCCAATGTGATGGAAATACCTCATCCTCCGAGGTTCCTTTTCCTGAAATATGTCTAAATGTGCATTAGTTGCGCCAGAAGATTTCACTGCAATGATGCTTTCCTCATTAATTGCAGCTGATTCTTCAGCCCAGCTAACCAGCATCAGTTGTACCAGTAAATCAAATGTTTCGCTTCTCTGGAGTCTTAATCTAAATAACTCATGAACAGCCCTGCCAGAGTCTTTGCTTCCCCTCTGAAACTTCACACACCAGGCCGCTACTGTCTGCACTGATCTCAGCTTTACTTTCCAAGCTGCCACAAGGACTCACTAGACTTTTTCAGTTTAAAACTCCAGACTCTCTCCTCAAACCTGCCAAAAACCAAGGCCGGGCTTATTATAGCATCAGCCCCACTCTGTGGTGTCAACCTCTGGTACCAATCACTGTCATATCAATCAGGGAAGGGGGAGGACCACCTGCCTTACAGGTTACAGTCCATCATTGAGAGAAGCCAAGACAGGAACTCAAGGCAGGAATCTGGAGGCAGAAACTGAAATACAGACAAAGGAGGAATGCTACTTACTGGTTTTCTTTCCACCACTTTCTCAGGTTTCTGTTATAGAAATCAACCCCATCTTCCCAAAGACAGCATTGCTCACATTAGGCTGGGCCCTCCCATGTCAACCATTAATCAAGTAAATTGCCCCACATGAGATTCCCATAGACATGACCACAGGCCAATCTGATGAAGACAATTCTCCAATTATGGTACCTTGTTTCATGTTGAATATAGTATATGCCAAGTTGGATTATAATAATAATAATAATAATAATAATAATAATAATAATAATGATAACCTAACCACAACAGCTTGTTTGTGTGTTATGATGGGCACATGGATGCATGTGTGGAGATCAGAGGATGGCCTTGCATACCAGTTCTTATCTCTTTGTTTGTTCACTGTTGTGTAGGCCAGTATCTAGCCTGGGAGCTTCCATCTGGCCATAATGCATTCAGATTAAAGAAGGGTACCACCATGCTCAGTTTCATGTGAATACCAGGGATTAAAATTCTGGTCCTCACACTTACATGGCAAGCGTTCAATCCACTGGGCTATCTCCCTAGCACTCCACCTATAGTGCACAATTGCTCTTGCCATAATGCCAGATTGCAGTATTCTTGCTTCCAGGATGGAACAGATCCAGTGACAGATGTTCAGTGACCAAGAAACTGGCAACACTTAGACTTCCAGAACCCATCACACATCCGGGAAATCTCTCATCCAGGAGACTGTGGGAGCCTCTACACCTTGGCCCTCACATGTCCCTCTCAGTTCCCTGACCCTGTTTTTATAGAACAAAGGTATGCAATGCAGTCTTTGTTTGTTTGCACACACCGTGTCTCATACCACATGTGTGGTTCCCACCTTCTCACAGAAGTCAGTCAGCTCCCTGTTTTTCTCCATCAACGTAGTTCACAGGGAACATCAGTGAAGTTAGATAAACTCACGAAGCAAGGCCTTTACATGTGTTTTCCACAAAGACCACAGATGTGGGACCAAACACCTGAGGAGGAACTAACTATGTGGTGATAAATGATATCCAATAGTCCTTGTCTCTTTGCTGCTTGAGGGAGCCAGCCACAGAAAGGAGAATAAAACCTATTGGTCCTGAGTCCAGGTCCTCAGCACATGTGACACACCCTGTGGAAAATTACCTCATGTGAGTGGCATTTGGAAAGAAAGAACTAACATCCTTACCAAGCCCTCAACAAGCAAGAGTGAACATGGGGATGCCTGGAGTTAATGCATTTGGAGTCTCGACACAATTGTAATAAGACTGGGAATGCAACCTATTCAGCAAGAGTGGTATGCAGGTAAAGAGTAGAAAAGAGCATTCCTAGTCTCAGGCAGGCTCTTATTCCCCACAGGAGTTTTCCCTCTGGAGCAGACCTGCTGACGGCTGATGCGGGCTTGGTGTGAAAATGAAAATTCACATTGCGTGGAAGCTGTAAGTTCATTCATCTAAATCACGTCTCATATAGTCTACAACGGTTCTGAGAATTGCTGGGGTGGGACTCTTATTTGATCTTTCAACATTACTGGAGGTCGTAGAAGTGGGACTGCATGAAGACTTTTACTGTCTATTGTGTAATCCTAAATCAACATTCCGTCGATGAAGTGCGGATTTTACAGGGTAAAGTATGGAAGACAGAGCAGCCAGCTTGCTCCTCTTAGGTGGCCATGCCTGCATTTGGGTTAGTGCTTAAATATGAGAAGTAGAAAAGAGTGGGGGGGGAAGAGACGGAGAAGGTGCGAACAGAAAAGAGGGAGAGGCAGAATTCAGAAGGAGAAGTGAACGGTAAGAGAGCGAATTTTTTATTTTAAACTGTCTGGCAAATTAATCTAGTCCTCATTTTTTGAAAATATTTTTACTTAAATTAGAAACAAGCTTGTTGTACATGTCAGTCCCAATTCCCTCTCCCTCCTCTCCTTCCCTGGTCCCCATCGACCCCCTATTCCATCTCCTTTCTGCTCTCCAGGGAGGGTGAGCCCTTCCATGGGGGAATCTTCAAAATCTGCCATATCATTAAGAGCAGGGCCTATACCATTATATTCCTCATTTTTATCTTGAAAAACAGAAACCTTGACTTACTGAAAGGTTGAAAACAACTCATTTTCTGTGAAAATTAGATGCCTACATGGTATACCAATTTTATCATCTAAAATCTGATTCCTTCTGAACCTAACTTGCAGGACATTTATTTTTAACTAGTAGATCTCATTTAATGGTCACTAACTTGGATGGAAATAAAAAAACACATCAAATATCATGTGTTTTCAAGATATTGGCGTAATTTGCTTCTCTGACATTTCCTTCAAGAATTTCAGAGCACTTCTGGGACAATACTTTACATAACGCTCTATAAATACAAGAAATAAGTCCTTTTACTAAAAATCTTAATAAACACTGCATTAAAATTTCAACTTCTGCTTTAAAATGCCTCAGGCAATTTCCCAGAGATGTGTAAGATCAGTTTTAGTGTCAAGTAAATTATCCCTCACATCGTTACAACAGCATTGTGAAAATAGAATGTTTCAAGTTAAATAAGTTAGGAAAAGTCAACAGGGGAAAGAATTTCCAGCAAATGAGTACCATTCTCTCCTAGTAATTTACAGGTGACTGACTGGTGTCATGTATTGGTCATTTGAACTCCAGAATAGATTCGAATGGGATGGGTTTAGTCTCCATGGACTGAAGTCCCAGTGCTCTCCCTGCAGCAATATCTGGCATCCTATCTTCAGCATCGCCATTACCTACCAATAGCTTCAAAATTAGCCTCGAGCACAAATTTGCTTTCTTTAAATGCACCTGCAGTGAATTTTCTGGGATGTAAACATGATCGTGTTATGTCTATGCTAGAAATCACTAATGATGCAGGAGAGGATATATCAAAAGAGCAATATCCGCGAGCCTTAGGAATCAGATATTTACAGTTAAGTTCCTAAGTCTCTGCCAGCGCTATGTATAGTCTTCCTATATTCCCTGATCTGAGTATCCATTCAAACATAATAATATTTCCCTCCATTTCCTTGAAGTCTCCTATTGGAATTCCCTCCTGCCTGGAAAAATTAATTAAAAGAAAAAGAGACCATGATCTTTAAAGACATCAAGAAGACATATTTTGGAGGGTTTGGAAGGAGAAAAGGGAGGAAATAAATGATGTGATTAATTGCAATTTCAAAATATAAACGAAATAGTTGAGGTGCAAAAAGGTTTACAACAAAACAAGCTTTGTTTTGTCTGTTTATTTAAGGCCAGGAATTCCCATCTCAAAAACTGCCACAGGTAGGAGAAATCAACTTACCAAAGTGATACTCAAAGAGCAGCGGGCACCAAGTTCCTTACCAAGGAGAGCATCCATTGTGAACTGCCCTGCCCTGCTGCTTCACGCACTCCTGCCGTGGCCTATTTGTTCACACTGCTAATGTGATCATAATATGAGCATGCCCATAGCCAGCCTGGCCAGCTAACAACACATCTCCGAAAACATCTGCTGCACAGATTGAACTAACACTCTAAAAATATTAGGAAGTGATTAAGCATATGATTTTGCTTAAGTGGATACGTGGTTGCAATTAAAGTTAGGATAATTTTTCCTAGTGCCATGCTGAACAGCGTTTGCATTCACCAGCAACACAATACTACTAACTTCTCAGTTGCATTTAGTGAGGGTGAGTCAGAATGGCGCAAGTCCATGGTGAGTTAGAGGATGGGTATAGACAGTGTTTGTAGGATCCATGGGTCCCGTTGTGAACCAGCCAGCCATTCTATAATTTGCTGAAAAGAGACACATACAAAAGGAAATGGCAAAGGAGGAATCAGCTGTGACTTTTTATACTTAGGTTTTGCCTGATGCTCCGTTTATAAGTCCTTTGGTTTATGACTGAGGATGGTCCTTGGAGCAAGTACAAAGAAGACAAAAGTCTACGAGTATTTGCCACCCTGTAAGCTCTGACACAAGTCTGTGATTCTCTATGTGAAGCAGATACCCTGAAGCTAGTGGAAAAGAAAGTAGGGAATTGCCTTGAACACATTGGCACAGAGGACTTTCTGAACAGAACACCAATAGTGCAGGCACTAAGATTAACAACTTATAATTGGGACCTCATGAAACTGAAAGGCTTCTTTAAGGCAAAGGACACAATCAGTCAAAGTGGCAACCTGCAGAATGGGAAAAGATTTTTACCAGCTCCACATCCGATAGAGAACTAATATCCAAAGCACATACAGAACTCAAGAAACTAAATATTAAAAAGTCCAATTTAAACATTAGGAACAGATCTAAGGAGAGAATTCTCAATAAATGGCTGAGAAACACTTAAAGACATGTTCAACATCCTTAGCCATCAGGAAAATGCAAATCAAAACTACTTTGAGATTCCAGTTTGTACCTATGCGAATGGCTCAGATAAATGACAAAGTGGCTGCTCATGATGACAAGGGTGTGGAGTATACTTCATTGTTGGTGCTACTTGATTTGGACAAAGTACATGGAGTCCCAGACTTTGAGGAAATCAAGAAATATGAGTGGGAAGTAGAAATGGGGAGAAATATTAATGATTTTGCACATCATTTTAAGAACATTATCTTTTGCTCCAAATGTGACTCAAAGAAAATGGAGAATTTTAGGCAGACAGAAGATATGAACTGATTTCTTTTTTATATCATAAGTTTTACTTAAGCAATTGGTAAGATAGCTACTTTTTCAGGCAAGGGCCCAGACAGCCAAACCCTCTATTCATTAAGGTAATCACTGATAAGAATTTCCATCTTCCCAAAAGTTTGTGCAGCGCTAAAATAAGGAGGATTAGCTCTATCAAGTCATCACCCTCAACTCCTTCTGGTTAATTTGTTGTCAAATAAAGGAAGCCTAAGATAGAAAGAGAGTGCCCTTGGGAAGTGAATAATTACCAAGAGGGACTACAGTACCTTTTGTCAAAGCCAGTGGAACAAGGTTTCAATACTTTGCTAGCATGAATGAAGGCTGTGTTCAATTCCCAGTGTTAAAAGAAGACTAAGAAGCTCCTGATTTTCTGTTTGACCATAGGCTTAAAACCTGGAAAGAGAACTAGAGGTTCATAAGAGATGATATGGTAAGGATATTCTGGGAAATAACTTGAGAAGAAGGGCTCATGGTTTCTGAGAAGTTGGTCCCTCGTGGAAGGGAAAGCATAGTAAGGAAGATTAAAGCATGGTGAATAGGGAGCCAAGAGAGTAAGAAAAAGGGGACCAAGGACAAGTTACCCCCAAAACCCCACCCCAGTGACCTTCTTCCTGAAGGTCAGCCTAACTTCCTAATGTTTTCAGAACTTCCTAGGAATAAAGGAGAAGTTCTGTGCAAGATGGACAGATGAGTAAAGCAACGTTGCCCTCAACCCAATACTTTTCAAAAACAATGGAAGTATGATCCTAAGAATGCCTGCAGACTCAAGACCAACAATTAAAGGCTCAGAGTTGTCATCTTTTGTGATGATGTATTTAAATGTTTTGAATCTTTAAGTAGGCATGTGTCCCAAGATAGCTATGAATGAGAACCAACAATATTTGTACATGACAACAGGAAAAGTTAGAGCACCAGTAGAGAATGAGAATGAAGAGAAGACATGGGCAGAACAGCATGCCAGGAGAATTACATTAAAATCTGAGGAAAACTTTTCTCTTGCCACAGCACCATGTATGATAACATGATGCTTTTTTTGTGTCTGGGCAAATGCTAAAAAAAAGAAAAATAAGAAGAAAAAAACAAAAGAAAGAAAGAAAAAATGTTACGTCATATGCAAAATGGCCAGCCCCAAAATGGAAAGATAAAGAAACAAAAAAAACCAAACCAACAAATATATACAAGTCTGTGATTCAACATCATGTTCTGATTTGACATAGCATGAAATTGATGGAGGATATGTGACCTTCACAAGGTTGCATAGCTGGTTAGTAGTCATGCTAAGCACAGAGCACAAGGCTCCCTCCGCTCCTTTCAATCCAGGCTCTTACAAAATCACACAGGCAGACAGCAACCCAATCATATGACAGAAAGATGTGGGCATATTTATGCTCATAGCTTCTTGTATCCTGTCCAAAAATAAATGGTTGCACATGGAGAAAACAGAGAGCCATGAACCGGAGTACCCGTGCACACAGTCCACGGTATTAGGATTTATAATGCTACTGCAATTACAGTAGAATTATAGCATAGCCGGTGCCTAATAGAGCTGTGTGCATACTCTTGAGAAAGATGGATGTGCTGGCATCTTCAGCTGCAAAAATGAGATTAAATGGCTCCCATCCCTGATCCTGCCATTGATTTTTGTAGCCTTCCCATTAACATGATAACTCACATACCATTTCTCTATCATCCCTTGAAGGTGCAGACATACTTTTAGAGTGTAAATAATTAAATACTCAAAATCCAAGGTGACAAATCTTTCACACCTCCTATTGCCATGAAA